ATGAAACCTTGCTTCCCTTGCTCCAAGCTTCCACACGAAGGGACAGTAGCTAGGGTAATGCTCCTGGTACACCTCTGTCCTCTCTCATTCTGCTCAGGAAAGGAGTGCTAGCCGGACCTTTGGACCTGGTCAAGTTGTTCGGATTCATCTTCTTCGCTCCTTTCTCCCTCCTTAAGGAAGCCTATTACAGGTGTATGCTTAACGTTCCTGCATGACTGAGATCTGAAAGACACAAGAAACACTGTATTTCCCCTGCAAATACTGGATTTAAAGGCCAGAAGGAGTGTAGGGAGAGACAGCATGGATCCCCTATCATCAAAGATGGACCGTCAGTCTGTCATTGCTGGCGAGCCCAGCTGTCTTTCCCCCAAAGCTCTGTAAGGAAAAACCTGATCTTTTGATCTCTATTAGCTTATTGTTTTGTTTCTCAGTTGGGTCTATGTTTAGTTAGAAGGAGAGATACATACCAAATCCTCAAATACCAGCCCACCATTTTGCAGAATTTTCATCTTTGTGATGCATATTTAGTTATAGAAATATTTCTACATTCTGCACCACAATATCCTTCTTTACCCCCTCTCTCTTTAATTAAAGGCACTTTCTTTGGGTATTAGTCCACTTCTTGTGCAGGTTTCTTGCACCCAGCCCAGGAGATAGGAATATATTTTTTAAATTATACAGCTATTCCTTGACTAACTCACTAAAGCTTCCTAAAACAGACTTGGTCAACCCTGTCACATCCTCCGTGGTCAGCCACTGTGATGCACGGGGGATAAGTTCTGAAAGGTTCTGCAGACGTTTAAGACTAGGGATGGTTGCAAAGCCAGTCATATCATGTTTTTTGTTACACATACGTGTCTACCTAATATGAACTTTAATTTATGAATGAAACACATAAGTAGATTAAGAATAATGACTAATAATAAAGAGAAATTAGAAGAGTATACTGTAATAAAAGTTACTTAAAATTTACGAATTGCTTACTTCTGGAATTTTCAACTTAGTATTTTCCAAATCTGGTTGACTGCAACTGAAGTCACTGATAAGGGACACTGCTGTGCTTCCAGCCCTGCTGAGCCTCTCCCGGATTCCGTAGCCAGGACACCTTCTTGCTCTCTGGCTGTGCCCCACACGGCCCTCAAAAGAGCAATTTTTGTGCTCTTGATAGGTGACATTGTTCTTTTGAAATGCGCACTCTGCAGCCCTGCAGGTGCAGCTGGGGACGAAGGAGGAAATCACTCCACAGCCATAAGTGGGGACTGAGCTTCCTTCCTCCTCCCTGTGTGCCCCAGGACTTCGTATACAAAGCTCTTTCCCTTATCTCCAGTGCAGAGGTTTGCTAAGGCACCTGGACTCCGCGCGGGTCACCAGGGAGAAAGCAGAAAGTGCCCCAAGCCGGCCTGGTCCAGGCCAACCTCCCATCGCTGCTTGCCACTCCCCTTCTCTGAGTAAGCGCTGCTGCCTCACTTCCCCCGCTTGTCTCTGCAGCTGTGTGCTGACTTCTCTGTAATGACCTCTCAGGTTTTATGCTCTCGGTTAAAACTCCTGACTTTTTCCACCCATCTTTTTATAAATACAAATTCCCCTGCAAAAAATATAATACAGCATGTCGCTAAGTCCTGAGACAGCCGATTTCTAAATGTGAGATTAAGTCTTCCTGCTTTCTCCACTTCTGAGTGCGTACTTCCGCTGCGGTGAGAAGGCAAGCCTTTTGCAGGCCACCTGCTGTTTCTCAGGACCTCAGTCTCCCTGAGAGCACCCTCCTCCTCTCCAGCCTGCCCCAGGGCTCTGAAGCTCAGCCTGTGATTTTAAGAGTTCTTGTCTCAACTTCACTCGCCAATACTGGTTTCTCCGCCTCCTCCCCCATCTCTCTCTCTACCTTTGAGCTCTTGAAGCCTTCAGGATATAATTCCACCACCCACTTGTTCTATTTTATAAACACAACACACCTTAATTTTGACTTTCCTAGCTCAGGTACAACTTTTGGGTAAGAACCGTGTTGTTTCTGAGCTTCCACCACCGAATCAGCCCCAAGAACAATACATTTTCACATATGTCTACTGAATGATAGATTAAATGATTGATGAAACACAAATCACTTAGTGGGAAAAAGAAAGATAAGAATTTACAACAATAACCTGCTGTTGCAACCACTTGGCTAAGTAACCAGGAAGTGCTAACCTCTCGGTGAATTGCACCCTTTCCAGGACAAGATAACTGTGTTCACAGTTGGGACTGGATGCTTCCTGCACTCTTCTCTTTCATGGACGTGAACTGCATCTCTGGACAGTTGGGGCGGGGGGGGCTCACAGAAATACACTCACACAAATGCTTCTTAATGTTAAAAGTTTGTTTTCTGAATGAAAACAGAAGAAGAAGAGAAAAAGACACACAACAGCACCATTAATCCAGGGAAGTTATATTCCAAAGCTATATTTGGCCACCTTGTTCCCCAGGGCAACTAATAGCGTAGCATTAACAAATCAGATAAAGTTTTGAGGAATAACCATGCTAACTTCCATAGTGGTTGCTCTAGTTTACATCCCCACCAATAATGTAGAAGAGTTGCTTTCCGCAAAGCCTCGTCAGTGTTTGCTCTCCTATGAGGAACCCAAAGCATAAATAGATGAAAACTAATTAAAAGGCAGATAAGAGAAAACAGGGACTTGGATCTCTTGCACATGGCCGGGGGGCCAAGTATTGGAGGGAGAGGGCATAAAAAGAATTAAGATGTGCTATGTACAGGTACCGCTCCCCACTAAGAACATAATCATTATGGAATACAAACAGGCGCTAACAAAAAGAAAAATGAAACAAAGAAAATCGAGCCCACTAATCTTTTGATTTTGTTGGTTTGCATTCTGCCTTTTGGAAGGCAGCGTTTTATGAGGCTTTTTCTCAGTATTGCTGTTTGGCTATGATTTAGTGTTTGCAGCCTGTGATTGATTCACAGGAATAGAAGCTGAGAAGGGACTTTGGATTGATTATATTATTCCAGGAGAGAAAAATGCCTAGTACCAAGGATGACTGGTCTTTGACCGAAATGTTGAGTAAATATTTTAAGTTTGAACAAAATTCTAAGTTAAAAGGGAGTTTATTATAAAGTGAGATATAGTGGTTGCATTTTTGAAGATTATTGTGGAAATGATCTTTCCACAAACTTATTTTTTTTAAATAATTGGAGTGTGCCCAAGGACTGTCATTAAATATTAAGAGCTCAGAGGGAGCCATATGGTCACCTCTGAGGGACCGCAGTGTCTTGATGGTGCTCCATCTGCATCTGTAACAATTTGCTCATTACACCAAGGACACGGGAGGCTCCGAAGTGGCCTCTTTGGGAGGAGCCTCAGAGTGCGTGGCGTGGTGCCACACACGCGGCGCTGCCCCGCTTTCTCTCAGCCGAGTGCACTTGGAACCGGTGTAACTTGTTAAACATATTGCTACAGCAAGTCATAAATTTACTCAGTGTTGCATTCCTTTTTTCTTTTTGTGAAAAGGGATCGTATTTGGAAGATGACATCATCTATTTAGCAAAATAGACATGAAGAAAGCGCCGCGCCTACAAGCGTCCTATTTCAACATCATGATACTTGCGCAAAGAGTGGGGGAGTGAAGAAAGAACAAGGTGTTCACAGCTTACCTAGACTTTATTACCCTGGAATCTCAGTTTCCAAAGAGCTGTCATCTGACTGGAGGGAAGTACACTTCTAGGATGGATATACGACATCTGTTATGTACACCCACGTCTTCCATATGCTAATGCCCCTGTGGCTCGCTCTAAGGCAGCCCAGGGCCTGCCCGCACTAGACTGCCCGCATGCGCTTGAAGTTCCCACCTCTAGCACGGTTGGCAGCGTGCCTCAACCCTGTGACGGATGACAGTGATATCAATCACAGCTACCGAACTTCTTAGGAGTCCTAAGTCTCCACACTTTGTAACCTTAGCCTATAATTTTCTAACCAGCTCTCTGTTTTACTCTCAAATCTGCTGTAAATTAATTGAACCATCTTCATTTTGTAAGCTAAGTGCTCTGACTCAGAAGAACCTAGGAACTTGTCTAATTTCTCATAACTAGCAAGTGGCAAATCATGAATCTAAGCCCACATCTAACAGATTGTAAATATCGAGCTCCTTTTATTACATCATTGGAAACATAATGACCCTGGAGTACAGCCTTCCATTTTTGTTTACTTAGGCTGTTTAAAGGCACTCCATTACAAGAAGTTTCTTAGACATGAGTACGTTAAAGTATTACATTTAAAAATGTTTTTAAATTTGACATCCAAACATTCCCTGTTAATAATTAAAAGTTGGATTGGATAATAATCAGTCTACCTTAAATGAAAATCGATTGATCTGTATCTTTCAATTATTTAAATTCTTGTGTGCTTATCATTATATATATTGTACATATAACTCAAATCTGTAAGCTGCTGGTAAATTTACTGAAATTTCTCAGAGAAAAAGAGATGTATCAGATGCAGGCACTGTTTCCAGGACACTGGGATTTCAGTCACAATCGGCAAGTCCTACTAACAGAACAGTGATGTCGAAAAGGGCCACTTGGCCTCAGACTGGAAGGTCGCATGAAAGCTGGAACCTGACATCATTTACCAGAGAAACAGAGTTTGTCTCAGGGCCTTGCCCTAGTGGAGCTCAAGTGAGGACCTGGGCCTGGCAGGTGCCCTTCCCCTGGGGCTCAGCCCAAGAGCCTGCGGAGGGACAGCTGCTCCCTCGCCCACTTGCCAGAGATGAGGCTTTGCGCGAACACCTCAGACAGGTGACTTCCAAAGCCTCCTTCCTTTACAACAGTTCCACGTCCTTAAGCCAGTTTATCCAGGATTTACATCTTAACAATCCTTAAATAACAGGAGCCACCTGTCCAACCGTTTCGTTCGCTGATTCTAAGGAAAGCCATTGTGCGAATCTAGGCAGGTTGGGGAACACCACGACGCGGACCTTCTCTGCCTTTTCCCTGCCACCCACGCACTCGTGCTCACCTTAGTAGTCTATGTAACATGCATTAGTGTCACACGATCTGGTAGAAGTCTGTCCACCTTACTGCTCTTCCCGTGGACTTGGCGAGTGTCTCTCTGCTCCTTGTTTCGTTTCTTTCCGATTCCCCCTTTCTTGTCTCCTTATTTCCGCTCACATTGGATTGACTTCGCTCTTCCTCCTGTAGTTTTATGAAGTGGAAACTGTTTGGTCTCTCTCTCCTTTTCTTCTGGCTGGACCTCTCCACCCCTGTACCAGAGCTGGCACCAGTCGGTATGCGCCCCCCCCTGCTGGCAGGAACGGGAGCCCCTGGTCTCTTCCCCGGACCCTATGTTGGAAGGCAGCTTCACTCTGAAGCAGCTGGGGCCAGGGCAATGCAAGCACAGGGATCTCAAGGTCCCTAGGAACAGGGAAAGACTCTCCTATGTGCGGGGTGTTGGAGTAGGAGCCTCAAAGTCCCTGCTGTAGCAGTACTGAGGCTCTGAACGTCTGTCCTTGGCATCTGCCCTGGGGGCCACTATCTTCCTGACCACCCCCTCCTGAAGCAAATTGCACGGCAGCATCCACAAGGTAAGGTGTGGGCTGCAAGATGGGCTGTCCCAGCGCTCTGATGTTTGCTGTTCTTACTGAGATTTGGTAACTTTTCTCAGACACATGCATCTCCATTGGCACTGACCCTTATGTCAATTTCTGACAGTTGTAATAGATTTAATTTTGTAACTGTCTCTTGCTAAGTGCTTGTTTGATAACTTCTCAAAGAGCTAATGCATCAATAGCTCCTTTGAGGATGCTTAAGAGATGTCTTAAGTTGTGTCTTGGTTACTTTTCTCTTGTTGCTGAGACAAAATATCCAACACCCAAAATGAAGGAAGGAAAGGTTTATTTAGCTTACAGTTTGTGGAGGTTTCAGTCCATACTTGGCTGGCTCCAAGGCAGAAGGTAGCAAAGCAACACGAGCAAAGGGGGCAATGGCAGCCGAACAGCAAACAGCCAGAGCAAATCGGAGGAATGGCGGCAAGCAGCTTCTCTCCCTGCCTTACTTTGTAAACGGGCTACCCCCACCTAAGGGTCATGTAGCTCTCACATAATCTCCATGCCCTCCTCTTCCACAGGCTCAGGATGTATACAAAGTAAGCACCCTGGCTTCCTGCTGAGTCACTTAGTCAGACCTCTAGTCTCCCCAAGTTGACACAATATATCAGCCATAACAAGTTGTTAAAACAATCATGACTTTTTTAGGAGCAGGGAAATAAAGCAAATCAAGGAATTTTGCTAAGCCCAGTTTGCTTCCCTGAAATTGTATGAGTGTCACATGAAGACAAAACTAAGCACATTAAATCACTTGAATACCTACCTCTTGGTATTGCCCCTGGGAATCAGCACTCTTGTTCCTGAGACACCAGCCCTGCGACCTCAGGTCTGATGAGGAGGAGACATTTGCAGAAAGGACACAGTCCTGATTCAGCCTACTCCAAACTCTTCTTCAGTAAGTTCTTTTGTGAGTCAGGATAAATTCAGAAAAGCTGAACTGAATTAGAAAAATGACCTACCATGAAAGGGGGAACTGAAGCCTCTGGAATAAATTCATCTTTCAGTACTGAGAGGTCAACACCCAAGGTCACCATGAGGAGAGAAAGCTGTGGGGAAGTGTGGCTGAGATGCCTCTGGACACTGTCCTGATTCTCAGCGAGGTGGCCCAGCCAGGACCCAGCAGGGAAGAGCACACTGCCGAAGTACAGGCTGTGACCCGCTGCGCGGTAGAACAGCACACAGCTGGCTGGTCATCCTGCAAGTGCAGTTCCCCAGCAGCTTGAGCATGGTGTGGGCTGAGGAAACAGCTTTTTCTGGGAGCTCTCAGTGTAGACAGAGCTACCTCCCATCTCTCCGTTGTAAGTGGGCACACAGGATTCTCGAGTAATTCAAATGCAGAGGTAGGTAAGGGAGTGCAGAATGAGATACTGACCTTTTAGAGCAACAGGGGGCCTTTGACCCATGGGAATGTACATACAAACAATGTGCACACAAACTGGCCCTGGAGGTGGACCCAGGTCAGCTGCAGGCCACACACGTTACGGTTTGTATCTGAATGTCCACGCAGAGCCTCCTGCACTCAAAGGCAGGGCTTTTGAAGGACAGGTGGCTCATGAGGGTATCATGACTAACTGTGATCTTGGGATACGGGGCTTGGCCGGAAGAAGCGGGTCCCTGGAAGTTTGACCTGGAAGGGTTTATCTCCCTTCCTGCCTCCTCGCTTCTCTCCCTCTGTTTCCTGGCTGCCAAGAGGTGAGCAGCTGTCCTCTGCTCTGCCCCTTTCACCATGCCGTGCTGCTTTAGAGCCAGCTGATCGTGGGCTGAAACCTCCACAACTGTGAGCCAAAATAAATGTCTTCTCCTTTCAGCTGTGACTCAGCAGTGAGGAATTGGCTAAAACAACCCAGCGTATCCAAGAAAGAATATTAAATATCTGTCCATTTAATCCATCAATCTCTGTGTACACATGCAAGTGACCTTAAAGTATATAATTAGTTCCTCCTTGTTCTAGATAACTTACGGGTGTACTTCAGCACATAATATCAAACAAAGGGCAATTGACAGGTTTGAACACATTTGAGCAACGGTGTGAACTTAATTTTACCAGGAACACAAGTCCGAATAGGAGGCTCATGAAATCTCAAGGAGTAAATGGAACTTTAAAATATTCTTTGATTACTGAAAGCAATTTAGAGAATAATTAATAATTAATGTACAGTAACTGTTGACCTCCACTGAACAATAAGCAAGCTGTAATGTTTTTGGTTTAGTTAAACTTTTAAAATCTTGAGATGATGTCGATTCACAGGCGCTTGGAGAAAAGAACAATGCAGAACAATCCCATGTAACTTTGACCAAGTTATTCAAAAATAACATCTGACAAACTATGGTGCAACAAGAGGAGGAGGATATTGGCACTGATGCAATCAAAGCACAGAGCTATTTCCATTAGTGCTGGGATCCCTCCTGAGGCACTTTCAGAGCCATATTTCCTTCATTCCTGACCCTCTTCCTCGTATCCATTGGCAACCAGGAACCCATTCTTCACAATGTAATCATTGCAAGAACTCTATGGAAATGGAATCATACAAGATGCAACCTTTCTGAGACTGGTTTATTATTTTCTCACTGAACAACCCAGAGACTTTTCCAAGGTATTTAAATGGTTCATTCTCTTAGCTGTGTAGTGTTCCACAGCATGGATTTGCTACTGTCTGCTTAATCGTTTACAGGGGAAGCACCTCTACTTTTTGGCTTTAAATGATAAATCTGCCACTCGTCTTTGTATATAGATTTTTGAGGGACCACAGATTTTAAAACTTTCATTGGTTTAAACGTACAAAAGTGCAATTGTTGGGTTATGTAATACCTTTGTGTTTAGATGTTTTAGGGACCTGCTAAACTGTTTTCCAAAGTGGCTATGACATTTTGCTGCATACTCATCTCCATTCCATGTTGTGACTATTTTCATTTTTATCTGAATTATTCTGATAGGTGTGCTGTGCTATCTCAGTCGGTTTTGATTTGCATTTCCCTACTGGCTAATGATGTTAAACACCTTTTCATGTGCTGATTTGACACCGAATATTTTATTCTGTGAAATGGTTATCTTTTTGCCCATATGTCAGTCTTCTCCCATTAATTTCACACACACACACACACACACACACACACACACACACACACACACCCAGGTTTTCCATTGTCCTATGGGGACGGAGTAGACAAATGTGCATCTCTTTCATCATTGCAGAAGTCATAGTGTCATTACCCCTTTCTACAAGTGACTTAACACAGTATCATTGATCAGCACCAGTGACTTGCTAGCACAAGAAGAGAGTGAAGCACTGAGGAAGAGCTGGTAACAGGACTGATGTGGCTCACTGCAAGGTACGACAGTGAGTGGCATAGGGCTGAGGCCTCCCGTGCTGGTGCAGTGCAAGGCAGCTGGTGGGAAACCAGTCTGACAATAAGGCCAGGGGATTTTGAGAGACAAGATTTTGTTCCCAGAAAGACCTTCCTGGGGTTGAGGGAGGGCTTCACAGGTGAGCAATGTTGAATGAGACTAGGTTTGGTGCAGAGACCAGGAAGCCTGGTACTCACGGGGACAGGGCGAGCAGGAGCCCACATGCTTAAGGGAGTGGACTTGGCACTTCTGCAATCGACATCAAGACTGGAACTCCCCCAAGAGGAGGTAACCCTTAATTCTGAGAAACTCTCAAAACACTTCCTAGAAGAAAGCAGCATTTGGCAATAAATGACTTTTCAGAATGCACCTGTATGAGAAATCAGGAGCCATTTCTTTGTTACTGAGTAATATTTATTTTATGAACTAAGATAGAGAAGTAATTTTGTGAATATCACAAGATAAATTTCATGTTGCAGTCTTTACCTGACTGTAGATGAGACACATGCACTTGCCCTAGTCGTCTGCTACAGATGAAAATGTATATGTTTTGCATGCACTTATGGAAGATAAGGTTTCTGTGGAAGGAAATGATTCTCATTTCATGAGAGTCACAGTTTTGGATTTTCAAGCTGACTGGCCATTGATTGAATTTAACATGATCCAGCTGTCATTCTATATCAAGTCTAAAATAAAATTGTGGTGGAAATCTTCTGCCTACTTTTTTATTATAAACAAAAAGATACTTGATATAAAGAATCCTTGATATTCTGACCACTGTGACAGGCATATGTTCTTTCAAACCTTTGTTTCAAGCAAATGCACTTAACATTCCCAGTTGTTGGTAGAAACCTCACAAGTGTCAAACATTTGTCAGAAGGAGAAACAGTAAAAGGCTGGAGTAATTTTTATGACTTTTCCTCTGTTTGGGTCTAAATGTTTAATCTCGGTGTTAATGCTGGTCTACAGTTACCTCTGAAGATTGTGGTAACATTCCTCCCTGTATCAGGAGCGCTTGTAACTGTTGGTGGCAGGAGCCCAGGATGGGGACTGCAGCAGGAGCTTACCCCTGCAGACACTTCTTCAGTGCATTGTCACCCGAGGACATTTCAGGTGACAGCAACTGCACACTGGCCCCACTCCAGTGTCTTTGTTGTGCAAACTCATATAAGCCAGTTGTCCTCACATATAGTACTCACGTCTACATCTGCACAGTCGCTGGTGGATTGCTGTATTGATCAGCCTTCCCATCACTGGGACACAACACTGAACACCTACAGTTGAAAGGAGAGGCTGGATTTGGCTCACGACTTCAAAGCACTCAGTCCACTTCCAGATGGCTTCAAGGCGGGAACACTGGCAGCCAGGAAGTACAGCAGTGAAACAGATCGAGAGAAGGGACAAGATACTACATATAATACCAGAGGGCACGCCTCTGCAACCACCTGGGCACACACAGGAGTGTGCTTTACTAATCCCTTACCCAGCTCCAAAACCAGATCAGTTGAAATTAAGCTTAACTGTCTCAATTACTAAACAATGCATTGAGAATGTTCTCTGTCAGACAAAGGACCAACTGGGAGAATTTTAAGTGGAAGGCTGCCAGGCACGTGGGTGTTAGCGTGAAGCATTGTTTTCAAACTCCCATATACTTTGTATGGAGGTGTATGGAGCATTTCATAGGACCATGAGGACTTGACCAAATTCAAAGATCAGCTTTTCATCTTCTTCCTCCTCCTTGTCCTGAATCATTCTTTTCCACACTACTTTACAGTGGGGCAGGTAGGGCTTTCAGTAGCAATGGGCCCATAGGACAGAAGAAAGACACTCTACCCCAAATCTCAAGGCCACACATTGGCTTTCAAGTGACTCAAATCCAAGTTCCCAGCATCCACAATCAGAATATCTCAACACATCTACTCTGTAGGGTTCGAATGTCCCTGACAAGTTAAATGAGACAGTTAACCACAGCATATGTTGCTCTTCTCTGATGTTGGGTTGGGGAGCCTCAGGATGGGAGTGGGGCCATCTCTGTTTTGGGATTTACTATTCTTCCCACAACTTTAACTGCATGTGTGGTTACTAACAGAGATGCCCATGAGAACAAGGCAACACAATTACTGAAACTTGGCTAGAAGTGCCACAATTATAAAGCTGATTTGGATTACACATTTGGGAAAAACTTCTTGTGATTTTTGGGGGGTCAGATACAGCTTGTGTTACTCTATTAGGTATGAAAACATTTTATCAAGTTGTATCAAAAAGTATTATTTCCAGATGGGCTTAATCTTGAATTCATCTTATAAAATGTGTGTTGTTATACTGGCACTTAACCAAGAATAAAAAATTATTCAAACCACCACCCTGATTAGATATTGCTGTCTATACATTTCTTTCTTCATTGAAAGCATGGAAAATTTGAGAATGCACCTCGTTTGAAGCTGTATTCATAAAAAAGGACCTCTTTGTCCTTGAAATTTAACAAGTCCATCTTAACCACCTCCTCCTTCTTGTGATTTTCAGGGGGGGTCAATACTCCACACCCATAATTTAAAGGAGGAGAGTGTTAGTTTCCCTCATGGTTAGAGTCTATTGTCTGCTGTGCCCAGTGCAGAGGGGCCTGGAGGAGGAAAGGCTGCTCACATCATGGTGTCCAGGAAGCAGAGAGAGCTGGGGAGGGTTGCAAAGGGCAACACACCCTTTCAGGCCACGCCCACAGTGACCTCCTCCTTTGACCAGACCCCGCCTCCTAATAGCAGGTCAACTGTAAAACCCCCCAGTCCAATCACCTTCCAGGAGCCCTGTGGATGAACACTTGAAACATTTGGGGGATATTCTTGATCTAAACCATTACCAAACCCTAAATATATTTTCACGTTTCAATTATACACAAATACCAATTCCTTGAGCCTTTTAATCAGAACACATATAAAAATAAAATTTGAATTTCCATGTGTACTTTCAGATGAGCTCTGTAGGATGATCT